AAATATCACATGCGAGAATTTCACATGTATACTAGCGCTACGTAGTGAGAAAATTCTGAACTACTGTCCGCCAGTGACAGGGCTATGATCTCCTGAACAACTTTGTCAGAGACAGTAACATTCTATCTTGTCAGAATCTCGATATATTCCATGTTGTAATCTATTAAGTCAAATCCCACGTAGTATGGTCACAGTTTACGCGGTTTCCATTTACATTTTCCCTATTATCCGCATTTTGTAGGTGTTTACTGTAATCAAAGTTTAGCTTGTTTAAATCAAAACAAGTTTTTTGAGGAATACTCGTTGGTTTCAGATCGATTGGTAACTCAGTAACAAAATGGCAATGGAAAACTCATGTGTGTTGTACAAAGTACATTTTTTCACGGATCTTCAAAAATTTTGTTCGGTTGCCATTCACCGCCCCCCCCCCCCCCCCTGAAACGTGACATAATTAGTGAACGGACCATCATGGGATTCAGTTTTTGTATGTTATTGTGGCACATGATATGTTTGATTCCAAAACCCCTTAACGCCGGATTTTGTAACAAAGGCACACAAACACTTAAATAAAGTCATTTACCGATCTTGTCAAACTGAGTCGAACGATGTATGTTACTCGTCCTCGGATCGAAAGTCGGTTTTCCAAGCGGTTTATGCAAGATAGGTAAAAAATATCCATTAGTACCGTCCCGATACAATTGATGAATAGCAGATTTTTAGCGATGGGCCCAATCTTAGATCCATAGGCCAACATTAGAGCCATTTTCCCTGTAATATAGAAATGCATAACGGCGCGGTGGTCACTACCCGAGTCTTGTCACTATTATCAAGTCAGAAAAAGTAACAAGGACTAAAATGTGATCCTTTGATTACTGGAAAATCCTGATTCCCTAGTTTGAAGTTTTCATGACTAGGGTTCGGTGGTAGATCTTATTCCAGTAACGCACCACAAAAAGGTGATCGCCCGACGTTACTGGTTTGAAAAGATAGAAATTTACAAAATGGAACGATCTCACCGAGTTTAGGTCATGCAAGCTGTAGTTCGTATTGGGTCATGCAAGCTGTAGTTCGCAGCACGAGGTCCAAGATGCAGAAAACTCCTCGACCGAAGAACTCGTTCGGGTGCGTTGATTTCGAATTCAGCCAAGATTCCTGGAGAGTCGATATCACCAATAAGTACTTTCGCTGCGAACACGGCCTGACTAATCTTCCGCCTATTTTCTAGTGGTTCAAGACCCAGGAGTTGTCAACGATCTTCGTATGGCGGAAGGTTCACAGGGTCATTCCAAGGAAGGTGACGAAAGGCATACCGAACAAATTTCCTTGAACAGATTCAATCCTCGCTATCCAAACTGCTTGATACGGGCACCATACTACCGAGCTGAATTCCAAGATCGATCGCACTAGAGAGCAGTATAAAGCTTTTAGGCAGGCAGGATCGCGAAACTCGTCAGCGATCTTGAAAATGAACCCGAGTTGCCTGTTAGCTTTCGCAACGATGCCCGAGTAATGAAGCTTGAATGTTAAGGCGCAGTCCAGCGTGATTCCTAGGTCACGAACATTGTCCACACGTTGCAGAAGTTGGTGATTTATCGTATAGTTGAATGCCACTGGTTTCAGCTTGCGATGAAATGAGATAATATTACATTTTTGTACATTCAACGTGAGATAGTTTCTTGAGCACCACTCTTCGAAAGTATCGATTAGGTGCTGAAGCCGAAAGCAATCGGCGAAGCTACGAACAATCACATAGATCTTCACATCATACGCGTAGAATGATCGGCAGCCAGTTGGGAGGATCAGTCCGGCCTCATTCACAAAAATCCAGAATAGCAATGGTCCCAAGTTGCTACCTTGAGGAACACCGGAGCTGTTTGTAAAATAGTCCGATTGCTCTGATCCGATTCTAACACAAAGTTCCCGATTGGTCAGATAGGACTTGAACCAACGAGTTAAGCCCGAGGATACACCGAGTTTTTCTAGTTTAGCTAGCAGTATGGAGTGGTCAGCCCGGTCGAATGGAGCCATAAGATCTGTATATACAACGTCCACCTGCGCTCCAGCTTCCATACTTCGAAGACATAAAGAAATGAACGGAGCTAGATTTGTTGAAACTGATCTCTTGGGATAAAAACCGTGTTGTTCAGGAGAAATGTAATTTCTGCAGCTAGAGAATAATGCGTCGTTGATGATGATTTCGAAAACTTTAGAGCAGGCACTGAGTGATGTGATCCCTCGGTAATTTTCGACGTTTTTCTTGTCTCCTTTCTTGTAGATCGGGAACATGAATGACGATTTCCAACGCGTAGGGAACTCCCCCTGCTGTAATGAAATATTGAACAGCTTCGAAAGCGGTGTTGTAAGCTCTGAACAGCATCGCTTCAGGATGCTTGAGGGGATCCCGTCAGGGCCAGCAGCATTAGAAAATTTCAGCTTCTTGATGGCGGATTCGACGAGGTCTACTGTAACCAAGGTAATCGAAAAATCGAAAGCATCACTGGGAGTGTCCCTCACCGCTTCAGCAACTTGGGACAACGAAGCCGTAGTGTCATTGAAAATGCTTTTGAAATGTTCTGCCAGAAGATTGCATTTCTCAAGGGAATTGCTGGCGATTCTATCACCCAGGTGAATTTCGACTAGTAGCCCCTCCCCGTTTCGTTTGGTATTCACGAGTGACCAGAACTGCTTTGGATTAAGCCGTAAATTAGCCTGCACACGCCTTGTGTAGCTCTTGTAAAGAATGCGGTTATATGTGCGATATTCGTTGCTCGCTGTTGAAAATAATCGTTTGGTGAATGGGTTACGAGTACGACAGTATTTACGGAGGGCCTTCGATCTCAGACGCTTCAAATTCCGTAGTCGAGCATTGAACCATGCGGGTTTGGGAGAGGGTCTCCTCAATGGGACAGAATCAGTTATTGCCCGGCCAACGACCTCAGCGAAGTAGTTGACGGCTTCATCAATAGATGAACACGTGTCAAGGAACTGCCAATCTGCCTGGGCAAGCGAGTGACTCAGCGCGACGAAATCTGCTCTACGAAAGTCGAGTTCATGTACATCAACAGGGGGGTTATCGTAGTGAACAGAAACAGATAGGTTGATGGAAACTTCCAACGCAGGATGATTGGTGTCGATGCCAATCAAAGGCTCTGAGGCTTCTAGGATAGAACATTCCAGTCCTGCAGCTTCGTTCACCAGAACGAGATCAAGCAGCCGAGAGTTGCTATTCAGTATCGAGTTGATTTGCGTTAAGCCATGCAGGTTGAAACCATCAAGGAGAGCACAGCATGATGAGGGCATGTTCGAGTGAAGAGTTGGGTCAAGATTCGCTTAAGCAGGCGATGTGACCTTAGGAATTGTTTTATTTTGGAGGGGCTTGGGAGTAAACCCACGATCTTCTACTCAGTAAGCAAAAGCGGCAGCCACAAAGCTAGCCGAGCTCCTCAATTTAAACCCTGGGACATAATTTGGTAAAGTTTTTATGAATACTAATAGAATTATAATGCAAACAAATGAAATAAAAAGGAAGGATCTCACCCGAATGATCTGTAATTGGCCCGCCTCTTCGTGATTCTTAAGATCAATTGTTCTCGCAAATGGAGCTCCATCTCCTTGATCCTGATAATAACAAAATCAGTTTCCCCTTGCTCTGGCCTCGGGATGAAGTGCATCGGAATAAACGCACCGCCATTGCAGCATTTTCGATAAACCTCCAGATGTTGGCTCACGATCCCCGTTCCGATCAGCTCTAACTGTTCCACTCTCAGATTCAAACATTCCAATACGCAAAAACACATGTTTGCAAGAAACTTCACAATTTTATTTGTTGAACACGGGAGCAAAATTCAAACACGTCACTTCTTCAGCGCGACCTACTTTGATCGCTTTGAAAATCATGAATACTGATATATTACTTAACTAAATTCAGATTCTAGCAAGATCAGGTACCTCAGATGTACTTGTATCAGCATATGGGGGCGACAATTTTATTTTTTTTTTAATACCAACGCTACCGACGCCTCCACATTTGGACCCTATCGACCCATCAACTCATGAACCGGGTACCAACGGCTTTATTTTCCTTCCGAAGGAAGGCGTGATCAGAGATTTTATGCCTCAGAACACCCCGGCGGCGCCGAATGGGATTGAACCCAGGCCTGCTGGGGTGAGATGTAATCACGCTTACCACAATAATAAGCATATTAGCTTACAAGCGTGCTCTCAACTTAGTGTTCTAGGATGCACTTGCACAGTTATTAATTTAGAAACCTGTACCATTTTTACATTAGTATAATTGTGTGACAAGTACAATCATACTATATGCCCAGGGAAGAGGAGAAATTTTCCAACCCGAAAAATTCCTAGACCAGACCGGGAATCAAACCCAGCCACCTCCACCATGGTCTTAAAAGAATAATTTATTCTAACACGACACCCAGACCGGATCACCTATCAACCAAAATAGTACAGTTTAAAAAAAGTCAACTATCTATGATTCGATATTTTCTACAGGGCTGTTTCTCGTGAATACTTTTCTGTACGATTCTGTACAGCAAAAATCAAAAGTATGTTCCCGTACTTGCTGGACCATATTATTGTCTTACACAGCAACTTACAGAAAGCTGCAGCAACTTACACGTAGTGGTTAACAACCATACCTCTCATGCCAAAGTCACGAGTTCAAATCTCATCCTCGGACAAGTCACGAATATTAAAGCGACGATTAAAAAAATTGTACCGTAAATATTTCGTACAGTTTTAACTAGTCTGTAAACTAACTTTTAATTATATGAAGTATCAGTAATGTTCAGTTTAAATTTAAATTCAAAATAATGATAGTTCTTTTCTAAAATGTTGGCTCTATTGATCACAACAAAAGAACAAATTTACAATATGAAAGTTTGCTAGCTGGTATGCTAATATTATAACAGCATTATACAATCTTCTTAAACGCACATTTTGTAATTTAATAATATTAATCCACAGAATTTCTAACGCACCTCTGAATTCTCCAACCGCTCACGCTGCTAATAATTTTCCCGCCGCTTCTCACTTGCCGTTGTATAAAAATCACTTGGCGCGCTACTGCCAATCTTGTAGAGCAAATTCGCCAAATCACATCACACCACTCACTTGTCCCGCAGCACCAAGGACACTACTGAACATCGACCGTCCCACTGGGAAAGGATCCTTTCACCAATTGCTCACCGCATTCAACGGATTCCGAAAAGCAAGACAACACGACGAGACCGCAGAACTTTACGTCGCACCGAACCGTTTCGTCGCACAGTTTAAAATGAAATGAATCTCCGGCTCAGACTTAAAAACCAACAAACCAACAGCGACGAACAGTCCTCCCATCACCGCAGCGCACCCCAGAAGCATCCTATCGGGAACAGCATGCTGGGATATTGTATGCATATCTCTGCTCCTGCCTCACTCACTCACATAGCAGAAACGCGAGATCCTCTATATTGCCTGGATCCGGAGTCGGTGAATTTCCACACCCCATCTACCATCGACTGCTTGCTTGCTCGTCCGAAATAGGAGGAAAATCACACCGGCAAACAAAAAAGGCGGCAGAGCACCACCCCTTCGCTTCGGCTCAACAGTTTGGATATTATTGTCATGTTGCCATCAACCGCTGCAGCATAGAGAGAAGGATATCATCATCATCGTCATCATCGTTGGCAGAGAGCAGGATCGTCATCATCAAGACAAGTGCCATCAAGCGTGGTGAAAATCAACCCACCCGACCATGGCACGTTGCGTAGGTTTCGTCCGCTGGCGTCGCCGTCGCCGTCGTCGTCGTTGTTGTGGTGATTGCGGCAATCAAGCTGGCTTATGAGGAACAAATTGGTGGTGTGGAAGGATTTTTCACTGGAAGGATGCGTTCGTTAATGGTAGCAAGCCGTGAGGTGATTGAAGTATCCTAGTGGGTTTTCATTTTCGATTGTTATTGTCTGTATTAATGTTATTTACAATAATGATATTTAGAAAATTGATTAAGTATACCTGATGGCTCATCAATCATTTTTTAATTGCTTTAAATTGCCCACCGGTCCCCTGCTGCTGCACCAAGATTAATTGAGTAAAATTATCCCATCCAGGAAAATGTTTCCCAACTCTCCCGAGGTCCCCCACTTGCAATGTTGGAGCAAATCGAAAAGCAAGCAACCCTCTTGACGGTTCGCTTGCTCAACGGTGGGCGCATGGAAAATTATTCACAGTTCACCGGATGGCGATTTTCAACGGTTTGGCATGACGACGTGTTCTTTTTTTTTGTCCGCGTCGATCCTTCCTGTCATCAACCAATTTATTTGTTTATAGGCATTCCGCCACAGCTACAGAGGATGTGGGTAAAGAAAATCAACAACAAAAAACAACACCTCGTTGTCGGAGGTAGGTGCCTACCTACGGTCATAAAGCGCCACGTGGCACCGTGTATTCTGTTGGTCATGCGAAAAACTTGGCCGGCACTCTGGCAAAGTTTAATTTAGTAGAAAAGTTGCAACGTTTCATTGCATCCATGAAGTGATAGGTTTCTGGAATGCACGTAGTGGAAGCGTGGTTTTTTTGTTGCCTGGAAGGATTTCGGATTCAGGATCGAAATAAAGAAATTTAGCAATCTTTTCTCGATTTTTCATCACATCGAAAAGCGTCGAACGTTAGGTAGAGTCACAAGTCACAAATCTTTTTAGTTTAACCCTATTAGATGGCATTTTTGTGCTTTAAGGTTAAACCCTTTTAGTATCTAGAAATTGTTAATAACAATATCACTTCATGCCAAAATTGCGTAACAAAACCGAAAACAATCTATCAAACAAATAAAACAGCAAAAAAAGGGTTATTTTCCATATAATTTCACTTAAATAATTTTGGTATGCATGACAGATACGTATTTTGACTACAATGTGCATTCTTCATCGGTGTCATTCCCACTAAAGACTTAACAAAAACCTATTTAACCCCCTTAAGTACTCATCCCCTAGGTAAAGATGTCAAGACCACAGGTATAAAAATGAAACTACAATGTGTAGAATTGGAACTTACCTAACTAATAATAACCAAAGAACAGAATCTACCATGCCCCTTACGATTTACCAGCGTACAAATAGTGCAAATCTTTTAAGCTATCTCGACCGAACGCTATTGCGTTTTAAAACGACTGTTTTCTCCTGCATATTTCGTCGTCAAAACCAGAGACGTTGATAGAGACGCGCAAAGAAAATTTCTGCCAAAACAGCAGCACGGTTTTTGAGGGATCTTTTGGCAATGTCACTGGCAACCATGTTTCTTCGAGTGGCTTCAAATGACTTTCATACAGTGCCGCGATGCTGAACGTTCGACCGAAACTGAATAAAGCGTTACCTATAGGCTGAGAATTCATGCGCCGTACGAAGTTCGATCAAATAAGTATGCCAGTCGCTCCATGACAGTATAAGTAAAACTTTGGTCATATTTTACTGTTTTGCTTACAGTGCAATCATTTTTTTTAACATAAAACTAAATGAAACGTTCCTATTCGAAATAGGTTTTAATCACTAATAAATGTTGCATTTAATTGAATCAACAATAAATAAATATTTAACAGATTTCAAATATTTCATTTTTCATCATTGAGAACAATACTCCTTTCTGGTGAATTGAGTGAACAGGAATGTTTATTTACTTCGCTCGTTTGGTTCAGCGTTTGACGGTTCGTTTGGTTCTTCTTGCTTCAGTCTTTGCGTGTCTTTCAGCGTTGCCAGATTGTTTTAAAATTTATCGGTATCAAAGGTTTTAAAATATCGGTATTCATTGGCATTTAATATTTTAATTTATTTTATATTTTAGCTTTTTATGAAAGCGAAAATTTTAACTTTCGGACTGTGATCGAAAAATTCTGAAAGAAAACTCCGGGGAATGTTTGAATTAGCTTCTGAAGGAACATCCAGAGAAAGAAGAAAGAAGCTCTTTTGGAAGAAAATTCTAAGAAAATTTGAGAAACTTCTAGTGAATATTCAAAGAAACTATCGGAATAAAAAAAATCGGATGTCACATCAAAAGGAAGCCAGAAAAGTTTCGGAAAATGGAAGTATTTAAATTCCAGAAGTATCCAGTTCTAGGGGAAGCCAGAAGAAAATCGGAAAAACCTTCCAATAAAAGTCGAAAACCTTTGGCTTATGGACACACTTTCAGAAGAAGACGAAAGAAACTTCCTGAAGACGCTGGCAGACACTTCCTAAGGTAGATTGCAAGAAACTTCTGGAGAAATTCGGAAGCCAGAGCGCATACGGAACAGTCGAAAGAAACAAGGACATAATTCCGGAAGAAAGAGATTTCTGGGGGATTGTTCCAATGATCCAGCAAATTTTGCTGATATTCATAAAACATCCCTGAAGACCCCGCAAATGCCCCTGAAGTTTTCGGAACATTCCTGAAATGCACTTAGGAACATTCCATAATTCTACTAAATTTCTTAAATGTTCTTGTAATTGTTTTGGAGTTAATGGGGTTGTTTTAAAGTTCTCTGATCATCATTCAGGTACTCGGAACTTCTCTGATTATAATGAGGCCACCTGAATATCTATAATCATTTTTGAAGGTATCTGGACTTTCTTGCAGACTACAAAATTTCTTAAGTGCTCTCACAATTTTCTTGAATTTATTGTATCATTAGCATTAAAGATCTCTAATGTTCCCAATTTTTAAAATTTTAATTCTTCGATCTGCCATTAAAAAGCAGGAAATTTCCGAGGAAATTTCCCATAAAATGTTCTCACAATGTTCTTATGTTCATGTAACTTCCCTTAAGTTTCCTAAATTTGTGGAACATTGCCTGAGTTTCTCGGAAATCCTTTAAAATATCAGCATTTCCTTGAAATTAATTGATCTGTCCTGATGTTCACGGAGCTTCCCTAAAGTTCTCTCAATTCTCAGAAACAAATGGAACTTTCCTGAAAACCTTTAAATTTCCCTGAAGTTCTGAAGTTTCTTGTGAACTTGTGAAGTTTCCAAAATATTTCTGATGTTTTCGTAAGTTCACTGGAGTTCGCTGGACTTTCCTGAAATTTTCGGGTTTTGAAATTTGAACAGAAGTTAATGAAACTATCCTTAATTTATCGGAACTTACTCAAAAACCTAAACTTTTCTGAAGTTTTAGAACTTCTTTAAAATTCCTGCAGCTAGTGTGAATACGCAATAAAAATCTGGAAACATTCCTGAAGTTCAGGGGAATTAAACAAATTGGTGAAGACGGAAGAACCATTCGAGCGATGGCTGAAGAAGCTTCCAAGGAAAGTTAAACTAAGTTTTCGGGAGGAATCGAAAGTTGTAAGAAAATTCAGGAAGTTAAAAATGAACACAAACTTTAGGAAGTTAAATAATGTTTAAAAAGTATTTCGCTATTCTGTAGGAATAAAATAAAATCGGTGTAAATCAGTATACAATTACAAACATCGGTATTCTGATGAATCTTATCTGTATATCGGTATCTAGTTTGGAAATTGGGATAAATACCGATAAATCGGTATATCTGGCAACGCTGGTGTCTCTATTCAACGTCTCTGGTGAAAATCACCTGCACGGAACCGAAAAATTACCCAAAATTAAGTTCTTTTCAATCATCTCCCATGTTTCGTTCAATAAGCTAATTTTCAATAAACTGCTTATAGTAGTTTACATTTGACTACGGAAAAAATAATTACTTACTCGTGAGTATTTTCTACCCAAAATTAAGTTCAATTGACTCATATTTGAAAATATCTCATATACTCACTAGTAGCTTATTGAACGTTAGTCATTAGCAAGTCGAATCTCTCGTTCCGTTTTTGACAACAACAAAAAGTGAGAGTGGGATGCAAAACTGAAAATTCCCCACAATTATGTAAAAAGAACTTAAATTTAGGGTAATTTTTTTCTCTGTGTGGGTTAAATGCGCGAGCAGTGTTTGCGTGAGCAACCAAAACCGGACTTTCTGATAGACCTGTGCACTACACGCTATTTTAAAACTACCCAAATTTGGGTAAAATCCAGCCAGATCGGTCAAAACTGAACCTACCCAAAAATGGGTAAACTGTATTGGGAGTGACAAGTTGACAAATGAAAAACGTCGATCGGATTCATGTCAATGTTGTTCATTTCAGTGCCAACATTTCAAAGGGGCGTAATTGCATTTGTAAACAATGGCTTTAGCCGTTGATTTCTCGCAAATAAAAGCTCACTCATGAAAATTGATTGCACCAACAGGTAGAGGAATGTTTCCTCTTCCAGCTAGCATT